CGTTCCCATTTTTTTTTTTTTTTTAATTTTGAGACACGGTCTCAATAAATTACTAATCCATTTGTAAATCAGATTTTTAAAACTTAAGACTATGATTTCCCCAGAGAAATCTGATTATAAATGAGAGTTATTTTCAATGAAATTTAAGAGAGAATATTATTGTTACAAACATCTAATATCTCAAATAATTAGTGGGTTCAGTAGTTTTCTGGGAACTAGGAAGGAAATCAAGCTCAATTCCTAGAACAGAGTAGATCCTCAGTAAAAGTAGTGATTGAATAATTGAACAAGAGAATGTAGACTTTGTTTGCTGGTTCCTAGGGAGAGGACCTGAAGGAATAAAGGGTAAAAGGGGTTAAAGAAGGAGTCCCAGGAAAACGCCCCCAGTGCCAGGTACATGCTCAGGAGCTCCATCCCACCCAGCAGCTGGCTCTGTTAGAATCTTATCTCCTCCAGGCCCAGACCACCTTAGCCCTGGTGTTGCAGCACTTACCTGATGCTTGCCAGCTGCGGAGAGGATGGCTTTCCTAGGGCTGCAGCCCCCGCTTCCCCGGGCTCTAGCTGAGCTGTTGATGGCAGCTTCTGCTTCCTGAGATGTGCTACGGAGCTGTATTTATGTTATTATATTCTCACTTGTGCCTGCAGGTAGCACCATCTGGCTAGAGGTGGCTCCCTCTGCCGTTCCACAGGTAAGTCTCCTGGGTCTTCTTGGGCACCACAGATGTAGAAGTTGGGGAGGCACTGGGAGCACCTGCCCCTCCCAGGTTGCTCTACCAGTGTTGCCCTCCACCTGCCTCTCTCAGGTGGGTGAGTGTGGCCTTCCCCACCAGGCACTGGCCCTCCACACCTCATAAACTCCCACCCTCCCCATGTTCTGGGGAGTCAGAGTCCAACTTATACAAACATGTTTACTGTAGAAAAAGTAAGAAATGCAAAAGTATGCAAAGGGGAATAAAATCACTCTTAGTCCCATCCTCAAAGTGAAATTAACATTTTCTTGGGTGTTTCCTTCTGCTCTTTTTGCTGTGATTTTTCCCACATCCCATGTGCACATACTCTATGTATGTACACATACTGTATTTTTTTCTGTTACCATTGTACTTAATGTTGCTTTACTTAAACATTTTTCCATTTACAAAGTTCTCCTCAACAGTGTGGGTTTTAAAGATTGTTCAAGAGACCATCCGTGCATACGTTATTATTTATTTAGCAAATCCCCAGAACGAGCAATACATTGTCTCCAGTTTTGTGTGTATGCTATGTATAACTGGAACCACATCCTTACAGAGAAATTTTTGTGGCATCTGTAATTATTTCCTTAATTCTCTGTTTCTTCCATTAAAGATGGTCTTTCTCAGAGCCCCCTCTTAGTCTGGAGCCTTGCTCATTTAGTTGTTTTTACCTCAGTTTTTTCTAATTTGGGGGGCTGGCAGGACATTCTGAGGGCAACTGAAATGACAAGCCTTTGAACTTGGAATACCTTCCTCTCGTTGAAGGTAGGGCAGCGAGCCTCTCCCTCACTCCCTAGTGTCTGTCCTGCCTTCTGTATCCCTCCTGAGCTACCCACCTCCTCTGCCACTTTCCCAGTGTACTCCCTGTAACCCAATCCTGACTGGGGCAGAAAGGTCCAGAAGAAGCTGTGGGACCAGACAGACAGCTGGGACTATAGCTGCCAGGACAGTTTCAAAGAGGGCAAGGACCTAAGAACTGGGATTTTTCTGAACTAAACACTTGTATTTCCCGTGGTTCATTGGTAGGGCAGGGGACGGGCATCCATGGTTAGATCCAACTCAGGGTGGAGGCCAGATGGCTTTTTCTCCCATGCCCACTTCACTGAAGACAGTTCCTCCTCTACAGGTAGCTGAGGACACCCTCCAAATGCTGGCTCCTCATTCCTCAGTGCCTCCCAGTCCCAGAAGGATCTTCCTGGATGCCAGTGTAAAAGATAACTACTGCCCTTTGGTGCCCCACACAATGTACTGCCTGCCACTGTGGCCAGGCATCAGCATGGTGCTCCTGACCAAGGTACAAAGCCCTTCTCCCTGCCTTGGTGGTGCTTAGGGCAGCTGTTCCACCTTTCCTCTGCTCTTGCCTGCAGAGCCCTAGCACCCCACTGGCCCTGGTTCTTTACCAGCTACTGGATGGCTTTTCTCTTCTGGAGAAAAAGTTGAAGGAGGGCCAAGAAGCTGGGAGTGCCCTGCGGTCCCAGCCCCTTGTGGGAGACCTGCGCCAGAGGATGGACAAGTTTGTCAAGAATCGAGGAGGCCAGGAGATTCAGGTGGGGCCCAGGCTGTAGGGCCAGTTTATACCTAGCAAATAAGAGGGTAACAGTTGTTTTTGTTCCTGCTTCCCACAAATCTGTGATTTTTGGTTTCCCCATTATGAAAAGAAATCAAAACTGAACAGCTGAATTCCCCAGTTTGCAGAACATTTTATGTGAGTTGAGCAGAACACAAATTGTAATACCTGATTTTTAGAGGAAGAAACTGAGGCTTGGATAAGTTGTAACATAGGCAGGACTAGCTGGCTCATTCGTGAGCAGCAGAGCCAAAGCCTGGATGCAATGGTACACTAAAGACCAGTGACCTGCACATCATGGGGCATCCGCCCTGCAGTGTGGCCTGTCACCTGGGCATGAGAAACAGCACACAGAAATGCGGGACACAGCTCCGGTCCCTCCCTGTAAAGCATAGAGCTGGGGTAGGAGCTGAGACCAAGAGCCCAGGACCATTTATAAACAATTGAGGGCAGTGTACCCCGATTCATTGGGCTTAGAAGAAGGAGTGGTCAGTGAACTTGGCTGCTGGGGCACACATGCAGCTGGCCATGCCTGGGATTCATCAGCAGGAGTGCATGTTGGTCTGGAAACGAGCCAGGAGGATCAGAGGAAGCCAAGAAGTGGCTGATAAACCAGACAGGTATCCTCTCAGGGAGAAGTCAGCACCCAACACAGTGGGTGTCTCAGTAGAATGCCAAGTTGTTACGCTTCAGAGAGAGCCACCCAGGGTCTCCTGCAAGGCCTCTGCAGCAGCCTCTCCCTCTCACCAACCCCTAGCCTGTGTGTCCACCCCGTGAGGGGCTCTCTGTTGCTCTGACAGCATTAAGTGTGCATGGTTATGTGTACCAAGGCTGGAAGCACTGCCCTTGGTCCAAAGATTGCTGCTTAAATACCTGCTGAGGGAACAGTGCAGTGGACTGCAGTGCACAGAGTGCTGGCAGGGCCACTGGTGAAGCCTTCTTTGGCCATAGGAAGGCTTGTTCCTTTGGATCCTGGTGCTCCTCGGAGCCCAACTTGGGTAAGGGTCCCTGGGACCTCACTGTGGAAACGCAGTCCGGAAAGTAACTACCCATCGTCCTTACAGAGCACCTGGCTGGAGTTTAAATCCAAGGCCTTTTCCAGAACTGAACCAGGATCGGCCTGGGAGTAAGTAGTAGCCCCGGAGGACAAGGGAGTCCTTGGGATAGGACAGATATTCGCCAGAGACCACAAATCCGTATCGAAGAGAGAAGCTCAGAAAGGAATGCGTGCATGGGGAGAGTCCTGGGGAGGCGGAGGGCCGGACAGAGCTGGAAATGGAGGGTGGGGTGTGAGGGCACTCGGCACTCACATAACTCAGCTGCAGTTGCGGTGCTGACTGGGTGCTGCCTCCCAGCAGGTCACTGCCTGCGATAATTAGTAAGGTTGGCAGAGGTGCCCTAGAGCCAGGTGCCGTGTTGGGGAAAGCTGGGAAGCTGCCACCTGGCTCACTAAAGACTATGTTGTGCTGGATGGGCGTGGCCACTGGGGCCAGGTGCTGTGTCTTCCTGCTGTGATGTCACTTTGTGGTGTCCAGGCTGCTCCAAGTGTGTGGGAAGCTGAAACGGCAGCTGTGCGCCATCTACCGGCTCACTTTCCTGAGCACCGCACCCAGCAGGGGAGGCCCACACCTGCCACAGTCTCTACTGGATCGAGCCCAGAGGCTCATGCGGTAAGTGCGGGGTGGGCCCTAGGTTCAGCAGGAGCAAGAGGAGGCTGGGCCCCTCACAGCTGCCGCCGAACTTTGCTGTTCCTCTTGGCAGAGAAAGGCTGCTGGACTGGAAGGACTTCCTGCTGGTGAAGAGCAGAAGGAACATCACCATGGTGTCATATCCTGATGCCTGCTCAGCCCACCCCGGAAAGCCTTGTGCCAGGACTCCAGGCTCTGGGGAAGGAAGGGAACGTTTCCCACCCCCTTACTTCCTTTCTATGAAGAGAAACAATTGGTAATAGTGTCCTGTGTGCCTCATCTATAGAAATACTCTTAACACCAAAGTTCAAAGTTCTTCTTATCCCAAAATTAATTCATAAAGGCTCTAGTTCTCGCTTCAACAGAACATATACTAAAATTCGTAAAAGCTTTAAAGATTCTTCATGTCAGTGCTGTCCAGCCAGCAAAATGGTAACAGGTTTTAGGGAGAGGGATGGGGTTCCAGAGATCTGATTGGTTCAGGAGGACTATGCATCCTGTTTGGATTATGACAGTACCCTGTAGCATGTAAAGGCTCTGACATGGCCTGTAGCAAATATATATCCCTGTTTAAAGATTCATTTCCAAGACTTACTTGACCCTAGTATTATGGAACACTAGTTTCATTAAGTACTTATTTTCCAGGGGATTTCAAGCCTCTTTTTCTATTCTAAAGACTTTGAAGTATCAGTCCTTGGTCTTCTGAGTCTTCAGTCTTCAGGGGGATGCCAGGGAGCTCTTCTCCACCAGCCACTGCCCTTCCAGAGCAGTGCTCGCCATAGTCCCTGGCTCTCTGAGCACCTTAACTCAGGCCATTACCTACCTGGAGGACTTCCCAGGCTTGGTGCATTTCATCTATGTGGATCGCACGACGGGGCAAATGGTGGCTCCTTCCCTTAACAACAGTGAAAAGACTTCATCAGAGTTGGGCAAGGGGCCCCTGGCTGCCTTCGTCAAAGCCAAGGTAACTGTTCCTCTGCTCTTGGCTCTCTTAACTGCCCATGGGGTGGGATATGCCAAGGCCTGACTCTCACTCAGGAAGGATAGGCCCATTGCCCTCTGTACTGTGTCCTGTGGAACTCATTGCCCCAACCATAACCCTTACGTACGCATCTGTCGGTGTCAGCACACCCTGTTAGGCCTGCTGCAGCTGTGTTCTGGATCTGAGGGGCCAGTATCCAGAGCTAGGTGGGCCTTTTGTCCATGTGGGGCAGTAACTTCAGCCATGTTCAGGTGTGCCTGGAATAAGCAGAAGGCCCTGGGCAGCCAGGTCGGGACAGAAGATGCCAGTGCCTAGCATAAGTAAATGCTCAACAGTAGAATTAGCTAAAATGGAAAGAGCTGCAAAACTGATCAATTTGGGCATCAGAAGTTTGTTGATTTGTTGGTTTGTTGGTTTTGTGGTAAGAGGAATGGAATCCAGGACCTCCAGTAGGCTAAGCAAGTACTCTGCCACTGAGCTCTCTACCCTGAGCCTCATCAGAATTTAAAGCTAGGTGGTTTCTACTGAGGAAACATTCTCTGGGAGTTCTTTTCTTCTCCTAATTTAACTGACTCTTTTTTGTAGATGAGTTGTACTTTTTTGTATGGGAAATGGAAACTCCTTCCTTCCTTTCTCCACCCACCCCTCCCCCCAGTACTGGGGATTGAATCCAGGGCCTTTGAACTGAGCTATAAGCACCAGTCCATTTTATTTTATTATTTATTTTTTAAGACAAAATCTCTCAAGTCACTAAGTTACCCAAGCTGGGCCCGAAATTGGAACCCACCTCCCTAAGACTCCCAGAGTCCTGGGATTCAGACATGTTCTGCCACTTTCTGAAAAACTATGTTTTTTGTCCAAATAGAGTCTATCCTAATGATTCAAATAAGCTGAGGAGCAGAAGGCTTGTGTTGAAAACACAGATCTGCCTCTCTCACTAGCTGTGTGTTTTGGGTTCCTTATCCTGTCTTATTGTACAGTCACTGTATCATTATAAAGATTATGAGATGATGCATGTAAAATATTTGGCACAAAATACAGACACAGTTCATGGAGCACCTGTGCCCTTGTCACTGCTGACCTCAGCCTCATCCTTCCCGGTAGAGACAGTTGAGCTCTGACACATTGCTTGTTGTTGTCCGTGCAGTTTGTTGCACTTGAACTCGCTCTGTCTTTGCCATATTTTCATGTCACTGTCCTCATGCCATTGAATCTTCCACTACATGATTTTTAGCACCATTATAACAGTCCGTCATGTGACTGTCACATAATTCATGTAACCGTTTCCCCAGTGTTTGAACCTTTAGATTACCTCCAAGCTTTTGTTGTTATAATTCTTCAGTACACATCTTTTGTGCAAACACCTGAGTTTTCATCTCTGATTATTTCTTCAACAGCGATTCCAAGAAACGGAATTACTAAGTCAATAGAAGGAGTGTTTGGGGCTTATTAATGCATGCTGTCAAGTTGCTTTCCTCTAAAATAAAGCCAATCCATATGTCTGTGTATAGATGTAATCAGTACATTGTGATCAGTAATGGAATGAATCTCATGTCCCTTCCTCCAGGGCCTTTAGTGAGAGTGCTCGCAGGACATTTTCCCAGCCCTAACAGAGGGTGAGCAGAGCAGTCAGGCTGTCTTCCCTTGGGCATCTCTCACATCCCCTCAGTTACAACCCTGCTTAGGTAGGGCAGCATCACCAGGAGAGGGGAACCTAAGGCGGGTGATCCATCAGGTCCACTCTTTTCATCAGGGTTTTGTGCTTGCCCCACAGAGCAAAGGACATGCCTAGCTCTGGGTGTCTGAACGTTCAGACATGATTCCCAGCTCCGGGGTGGACCTGTGTTACAGCCGGGGCTGTGCAGAGAAGGGGGCTATCGTGTCCGTTCCATCTTCTATCATGTTCATTCACAGTGTCCTTAGCTGTTTTCTGGCCTGAAGGATGGGTCTACTATTTTGTGGTTTGCATGTATAGTACAGTTACATAAAGTACTTTATCCCTACAACTGCTAGAGGGGAACCCATCCTTCTCTGCATCCCTTCCGGGAATGTTTCAGCCCAGTGCTTTGCTTCCTTCCTTTCTTCCTTCCTTCCTTCTGGGATAAGAGGGGCTGCCTGGTGGGCCATGCAGGGTGGTTGAACACTGTCCCCTTTCCCAGGTCTGGGCTCTGATCCAGATGGCACGCAGGTACCTGCAAAAGGGCTATACCACGCTGCTGTCCCACGATGGAGACTTCTGCTGCTCCTACTTCCTGTGGTTTGAGAATGACATGGTGGGTATGGCAGTTCTCTGGGCAGGATGGCCCTGAGCCACCCTTGGATTCCCTTTTTCTGCACTGTGGTCAGTCTGTCGGTCTGTCTTCCTTCTCTTGTCTCTAGTGTAACAACAGGTAAGCACAGTGGCCGGGATCCAGAACCTAGGTCACATTGTCATTCTGGCATCTAACCTTGTGGTCCCTTCACCTGCTACCTGGCAGACTTGAGCCATTGTTCAGGCAGTACCCAAGTAAATGCAAGAGCAGTGGGTGCATGCCCACACTGAGGTGGCGCCTCAGGCAGTGCCTTGGTCAGGAGTGCTTCAGTGTCATCGCCTTCCTGTGTGAAGGTACTTTCCCGGCACCAAGCACACTAAGCCACGGCAGGGCTCAACCCTGTTCATCTCCCCTCGGGCCCAGATTCCTCACCCACACCCACCACCTCTCTGTTGTCTCAAGACCATCTTTCCCTTCCACAGGGCTACAAACTCCAGATGATCGAAGTGCCTGTCCTCTCTGATGACTCCGTCCCCATTGGTGTCCTGGGAGGTGACTACTACAGGTGATGCTGACTTCGGGATGTGAGGGCCCTGTGTACCTGTGTCCCGGGGGTCAGCTCCCCCAGGAATGTCCCACTCAAGCTCGAAGCCTGGGATGGGGTCCCCTCACCAGCTGGCCTGGCATCCCATGGGGCAGGAACCTCCTAGAGGGGACAACTGTGTCTTGCCTGCCCTGCACTTGGCTCTGTCTTGGCAGTATGGGGAGACGTCTTTGTGGACCCCGACCTTCCCCTGTTTCCCCTTAGCTAGAATGCTCAGCTGTGTGAAGATTGAGCCCCAAGAGAAGAAAGTGGCCCAGGGCTAAGCCCAGAAAATTAGGTCATTAGGAACAGGAGACAGTGTTACCAGCCCAGGAGCTGGGCCCAGTGAGAGGACCAAGAGATGAGCCCTTGACTGGCTGGCCAGGAAAGGCCCCTGGTGTGGGAGGAGTGCCAAGGCCTTGCTCCTGAGTTCTGTCCTCCCCTTTCCCCCAGGAAGCTCCTGCGCTACTACAGCAAGAGCCACCCAGCTGAGGCTGTCAGGTGCTATGAGCTACTGGCTTTGCACCTGTCGGTCATCCCCACTGACCTGCTGGTGCAGCAGGCCAGCCAGCTGGCCCGGCGCCTGAGTGAGGCCTCTCGTGTGCCCCTGCCCTAAGCCAGGCTGCACTGCCCAGTGCAGTGGGCCCATGTGCCTGTTTTTCGGCCACCCCACTTTCAGATATTCCCTAAGCAAGAGCTTCCTCCCTCCTGTCCCAGAAGCCTCCTGAGGATGCACACAGACCCCAGAGCAGCCCCAGGATTTCTCAAACCCTGCCTGGACCACCTCCATGTGGCATAACAAGCGAGCCCCAAATCCTCCCCACTGGAGGGAAAGGGAGTCATAGTCTTCCTTTTTACAGCAGCCATGGCTGCTGTCCTCGTGGCTACGAAATGGCAGTAGCTCCTCTTTCAGAACTACTACTGTCCCCAGGAAAGAGCGAGGAAGTGCTCAGAGCTTAGGCTCCCTGAAGACCTATACCCCACCCCCGCTGCTGTTCTGCGTGAGGGGCTCTTTTCCCTACCCCAGGTGAGAGGTGCCCCATTGACTGGCTTGAATTCCAGCCCTGCTGCCTCGCCTGCCACTTCTGCGGCTCTGGACTGTTCTTAAAATGCTGTGCCCATGTCCCCGTGTTTAAAATGTTAACACCTACCTCTCGGGGTAATTGGGAGGATTCCCAGACACTGGTATATACTCAGTAAATGTTGGTTATTGTCAGCATCCAAGCTGAACGTGCCTGTGCGTCTGCACCTTTTGCTGCTGAGAAGCTCTTGCTAGGTCCTGGCCCCTCCAAGCCTGCTGATTTCCTCTGGAGCTGTGATTCTGAGCTCCAGACTCAGGCCAACAACTCAGATTCTCTCTTGGTCAGTGTGTGCCCCTGTCTTCTAACCAGAGGATTCCTACCCTGGGATGGACACAAGGACAGAGTCTGTTAGAGTGCTGAACACGGGGGTATCCACTTCTCTTGGGCACAGAGGTGGTGCTGGGCTGGTGAGAAGAGGTGCAACAGAAATGCACAGTCACTGCGGAAAGGACTGCATGCCCAAGTTGTGCCTCTCGTGGACTGACACTTAGGCAAGGACTGGTCTTTCCCTTTCAGGGGTCAGGTTTGGGGAGAACAGAGGTGCTAAGAGCCGCAATCCTTAGAAGGTGGCAGTGAGGAGCAGTGTCAGTGGAGATGACAGATCTATGTTCCTTTTTAATACCATGATTTTATAGGTGACACTTAGAAATACTGAGTGTGAAGAACAGAAGAGCACAAAGGAAAAATAATTTAGCCTATAAGCCCCCCACTGTTTAAGACAACTAATTTTTTTTAAAATGTAGCGTCTTCTCTTAATTTTTACTAGCCATGTAATGTGAGTTTTCTAGTTTAATGGAGCACGTTGACTTCTATACTGTCATCCCGGAGTATCCGTGGGGGTTTGAGTCCTGTACCTGCTGTGGATACCAAACTCTTCAGGTATTCGTCCCTGAAATGAAAAGGTGTAGAGTTTGCTTATCACCTATGAACATTGCTTCTCACACTTTAAATCATTTCCAGATTGCTTGTAATACCCAATACCGGGTAAACGCTGTGCATACCGTTGCTATACTGTACCGTTTAGGGTACAACGGGGAAAAACGCCTGGGTTTGGGTGCAAACTTTTTTTTCACATTCTTTTTTATTTTCAGTTGATTGAATCCACAGTGTGAAACCTGTGAATAAGCACAATCAACTGTATTACAAATAACCCTTGGGTGAATAGTCTGAACTGGATTGTAGCAGAGATTCATACATGGTGTGAACTTTTCCTGGTGTGAAAAAGGCCTGGGCCTCAGAAAGCCCTCATACTGAGAACCGTCTTCCCACATCTTCCCGTTCTGAGAGTCACTGCCTGCAGGGTCAGAGCTCAAGGGGCCCTTTCTCATACCGGAGAACATCTGTGGAGGGGCTGTGAGGAACAAAGGGCCTCCTGATTCAACCTCCAAAACCGCCAAAGGGATGGTAGATCCTTAGCTGAGGATATTTACAGATGAGACCTTTAATCTTTGAGGATTTTCAGGAAATGTGCAAAGTGCCAAAAGACAGGCCTTCAGATGAGATGAGGTGAAGTCTGAGAATTAAAGGCAGTGAACTTGTCCCTGGAAGACTAACAGCCCGCTGAGAAGGGGTGGAGGAGTATGGGGCTCCTGGCCACAGAGAGGCCCTGACCCTGACAATGCTGAAGGCTGTGGTAATTCCTTCCGCCAGTGGCTGCCTGTGAGTATGAAGCTGCCGCCGCCTGCAGGACAGGGAGCCAGGGGACAGGGCGCCAGGGTGGAGTCTGACTTGGCCGCCCTCCTCCCACTCTGCGTGCAGCTGTCCCGAGGGTTTCCTTTCAATAAGAAGGGGAAGGGGATGGGACACCCGGCGCCACCACTCGCCGCCCGCCCTTAAAACCGTCCACGGTCCGCAGAGCGCCCGG